AGTGTTTCATTTTTCTCCAAGATCCTGGCAATCCATGTGTGAAGGATGTTATGAGAAGGGAGCATGGAGCAACTTTGTGCTCCTTTTCCACATCAGATGTAGGCTGGGATTTCAACAGGAGTATTTTGATTCTGTTGCTTATGTCAGTGTAAACAGATCAAAATAAAAGAGAAGCTGTGGATTTATCTCCTTAATAGAAGGGTAATGTGAGATGGCGATATATTGGCTGTCCTTGCTATTTAATAGGTTATTTTTTCGTGTGAAGATTCCAATGATACTGCACTACCTCGACATGACTTTTATTACAACTAGTGGTAATGTCTGCTTGACTTTTTAATGTCTTTAGGCTCTGTTTCAAGGAATGATTCGATATTAGAGGATTTCAGCAGCAATTGTCCTTGTAATGATATGCTCAGCAAGGAAAACTTGATAATGATGAGCAATATTATAGTTTGAGCTCATTCTTGTGTGTCAGCTACAAGGCAAGTGGTGAAAAATAGATATATGCTTTTAACTTATATTTTGACCAAAAGGACTCATGATAAATGACAGCACTTAATAGATTGATTGTTGCTACTGCAAGGGAGGAAAGGAAGATAAAGAGATATCAAGAAAAGAACTACCTGCATTAGGCACTACTGTCAATGTGTCTCTGTTGGCAGATAATTCTGGCAAACCCCTACTTTAGCCCCTAGCCATAGTTGAAGATGAATTGGAAGAGGCTATGGGTCATGCCGTGGTTTGCTTTCTCTAGGGATCTTGATGTGAAAGAAAACTTTATCTTTCAAGTAATTTATTCCTCATGGCACATTAGCAGTTTTCCTGGCCTAACACATCTTTTAGGAATTATGTACTCCCCTACTTGTTGCCCTATGAAAAGAGATATAGTGTAAGTTGGAAAATTCATACATTCAAATATAAGCTCTATTAAAGTCCAATATATTTTTATAGCAGCAAGTTAAGTTTGTGCTTTGTCCATCTGTTGAAGTCACTTGTTACCGAACTTATGATTGTTACCAAATCTAAAAATAAACTAATAGGGTAAGTCTTCCACTCTTGAATTCTGCTTAGCAAACAATTTTTTTAGACATTGCAGTCTTGAGAGTGAAAAGGTGACAGTGTTACCATTGCTGAGGTTCTCTTTAGTTTCCCAGTTTACAGATGAACCCTTATTCAAACAGGTTTAAACTAGGATCCACAATGATTGCTCCCTCATGTCATTGCATGTCAGGATGGATGAAGACTTGAACTGGCCCTGCTTTCCACTGTGATTATTTTTTGTTACTGTAGGAATATGGCTTGGAGTTCTTAAGTATTTGTGGGGGTGTATGTATGTAAATTCATTCCATAAAATTCATTGATTGCTTAAGTGGTTATGCTTCTTGTATAGGGAGATGTAATGCCATGTCTATCATACTTGAAATGTCAAATTAAATACCCAAGGCACTTAACCGCAGCATCTTCAGTGAGCAACAGTAGATACTGTAGTTTAACCTTCCTTTTCTGGCTTCTCTTTATTTTGACCAATTTTGTTTGAGTTTTAGTATAAACAGTACTTTTTGTTTATATATTGTGTGTGCTCAGCCACTCTCAAACTTCCTTAATAGGATGCTGAGAAAAATCAATATGTAGTTTACTGTGATGGTTTTTGAGAGGAGATACAATAGTAAAGTGTTTACTATTTGCCATTATCTTGGAAGCGAAGCTAAACTAAACACCTTTAGAGCAAAGAGCTGCAATGTTATATGATGACAGCCCCCAATGAGCTAAGGGGAGCTTCTTGCCTCCAGTAGTGAGTTGGGAGGAATGGTAGACTGCAATATGCTGTTCATCTGACACTGCCAAATTGGAAGGTTACCTGTGAGCTCATGTGCTCCTTTGCCCCCCACCATCAACCCATCCACCCCTACTGTTCAGCCTATCTGTCCTGTTTGTTGATATGCACACCCCTTCTCAATCCCACCCATCTGCATTTGGCTGTAGGCCCATCAGAAAAAGATGCAATGCCTTCTTAAGGCAAAGAAATGGAGAAGTTAATAGGGGCAAAAAATAATGCTGAGTTAGTATTATGCATATTAAACAACAAGAATGGGAGGTGGAAAAGCCCAGTTAAATATTGGTATTCTATTTTGCATGCTCCTGCAATGTCCTTTACTCCAAGACTTTCATTACTAATTCAGCACTTGTTAATTTCCACTGGACTACTTCTGGGTGGATTGTGGCCTAATTAGACTGCAGAGTCTTGACTTATTTGCAGTTCTATCAAGTTAATATTTGGCCCCAGGGGCTATCTAAACCAATCTACTGTTTTATAGCACGTGAGGTGCATATGGATCCCCATCATTTCATCCTCTGTGCGTGTGTGTGTTTTAGAGATTTAGGTTTGATATCAGAAACAGCTAATCCTTCAATTTTCCATATCTCTGCCATTGAACAGCCAGCAGCATTGATTAACAGTTGGCAAGAGAGAATGTGCTTGTTTGTCCAGTTAAAGCCACTTGAAAATAATATTGTGTATTTTTTGTTCAAAGTATTTTTTAACTCTCTTCATGTCAATTAATGTAAAATTCATAGTAATAAATGCAGAAGAGGAGCAGGTTGTGATGATTATTCTGTATTTATTTCAAGAACTTTCATGTAAATTTCTTCTCTAGAACTCCTGGTAAAAAGTTTCTATAGCCATTGTACTTTTTTCCCCTGCAACACAGTTATCTTTTTCTATAGTTTTGCTTCTAGAAATGTTTTTTTTTTTTTAGAAGTAATTTGTGTGAATGTATTACCTTGGTACTTTTATTTTTAAATAGCTTAGTGTAACAGAAATGCTTTATTATGTATTGAGGCATAGCATAAAATAATGTGCTCAAGGTCACAAGGGCAGCAGATGTAGAGTTTTTAAGTATTTACATATATAGGCTCCCATTAAAGCCACAACTTGGCTAAAAACTAAAATGAAAAAAAGACAGACATATTTGGAGGCCTTTTGTGTTAAATATTTGAAGAGTACATTTCTTACAAATGAATTTATTGCCTACATTTACTCCTTTTTTTCCCCCATGGCAGCCTTCCAATGGGGGAGATTGGACTAAGAGATATTCACTGATTCAAGAAGAACTTGGTCCTAATCCATCCCCTTCATCATTGCTCTACGTGGCATCTCTGACTATCACATTGCTGCACTGCTATGATTACTATTCTGAAACTCTAAGACCGAGCCATTATATGCTTTGTTTAGGGTAGCTTTTGTTGTGTGATTGAGTGTGCCTTTTGTTCTGAATACCTTGCCTGTGAGGAATTAGCTTCTTTTAAAAGTAAGTATTTTTTAGTTTTAACTAAAGAGGACATCAGAGCAGTTTAACATTGGAACCAATTATCCTTTCACAGGATTTGCTTAAGTGGGGAGGCTAGCCATCTGTTGGGATGCTTTAATTTGGATTCCTACTTGATGGTCTAGAGGACCCCTTCCAACTCCCCTTGAATTCTGTGCTTCAATAACTCTAAGTAACTTATCAAGAGTGTTTGGATTAGACCAATTGAACATTAAGAATTGGGGAGCTATTTTATGGTGAAGATATCATTCCAAAATTCCATATAGATGTGGATGTACGAGAAGGGGCTCTTCACTGAATTAAGAGAAAAAAGGATCCTATAATCAATAAAAACAGTCTTGTTAGACTACACTAATGGATTGCTAGGTAGCAAATGTTAATTTTTCTGGATAGAGGAAGTTTCTAAACCTACTAGCATTGTGGCTAATTTTGATGATACAAATTAAAGGTTTCTGGTGACGGTCCTCTACCTCCTCCTTTGCTCCCTCTAAAATTAGAAGAATGATTTCCTCTTCTATCCTGTAAGTACCCTGGAAGGCTAATTAGCTCTAAACCTTTGGTGAATCATCCAGAACAAATTGATATGGGCAGAGGGAGGGGGGAAATGATCTGCCCAGTGGCCTTTAGTACTGCAGTATTCTATTTTCTTTTACATACTATGTAATATCTATGTGAAACCACTAAGGAAAGCTGTTTTGAAGCTTGGGCTGCAGTATCAGCAATTCCAGGAAGATTATGGATCTCATAAATAGGTGTTTAGAGGCAGTATTGGGATATTGAGAGTAAAAAAGCTGAAGCTTGGATATGGAAAATGGCTGTTATAACTAGAGGAATTAAATTGGTATTGAATAGGGCTTCATTTTTCCTGAAACACTTTTTCTGAAGGACCAGATTGTAACTTGGAGTCCTTCCGGACTTGTCCTATTTGGATAAACACTGCTGCCAGAAGTTATTTCTATCTGCCTTAGTTGATTCATCAGCTCTGATCTTATCTAGGTCAAATAGATGTGATCTCAATTTTGCATGTTCTAATTACATCTGGAATTGACTATTATAATCTGTACATGGGGCTGCCTTTCAAGATGACTCAGAAATTGCAGAAAATGTAGCTCCTTGTATTTGTGGAGGCAGGGGGGGGGGGGGGGGATAATCAGATCATGCTATACTTGTTCTGTATAAAGTGTACTGCTTGTAAGTTTTCTTTTCAGGTGCAATGGTTTATTATTAAAAATGAGTTTAAACAGTTTTTCATCAAGTTTATTTGAAGAATTTCCTACACCCATGTGAATTTGCACATGTTCTAAGACTGTTTCAAGCCCCTGTTCAATAGCACAACACCATAATCAACTGACTTTTCATAATCTAGTGGCTAGACATTAGAAATAGGGCTTTCTTATTGGCAATCTCTGTCTTATTCCCTCCTGAGATATAATGATGATCTAATCTATGGCTGTGTTTAAGAAGGCTTTAAAAGCCTATCTGATCACCGAGACTATATTTTATTATTTCATTAGTTAAGTATGTTAAATAAATAAATAAACAAACTTGAAAAGCGGTGGAAATGAGTTAAGTAAACAAATGGCTGTTTATAAGATAGATATAATACTGCAGAGATAACCATTAGCCGAACATGTTTATACCAAATATATCCTTTTTCATGTTTTTGCTTGTTAGGGAATGATGTACCTGGAAGAGAGGAGACTGGTTCACCGAGATTTGGCAGCACGGAATGTCCTGGTGAAATCTCCAAATCATGTGAAGATCACAGACTTTGGCCTGGCTAGGCTACTGGAAGGTGATGAGAAGGAATATAGTGCTGATGGTGGAAAGGTAGGTTTCTTTAAACTCATAAGTTAGACCAGGGAGTTATATATATTATCCAACATAAAATGGGAAAGGGATCATGTACAGAAAATTTTTTTTTTTAATTTAAGCAGTACATATTTATTGTTTCCATGAACCAGGTTTTCGTGGTTCCCTACATTTATCAAAATTAAAATGCAATTGATCATTGGTGCTAATGTCTATCCACTTTCTTTTACCTGATAATCTATAGAGTTTAATTTATAATTTGTACACACTAGAACTTACCTTAAAAATGTGACTTAAGTAAAGAGTCAGTTTTGTTTCAAAACTCATATACCTCAGTTCCACTAGCAGTTGTGATGGAACGGTTGGTGAAGGCCGCA